CATCTTCTCAGAATCTAACAGAACCGCCTACTAGAGACGGGTCACTGATGTGAGGCATTTAAGGTGTGAGAAGATTCAGGCCTCTCAAGATGGGCTTGTCCAATGAGAAAGGCTGAAATCCCAAGTGGGAGTTTGGAAATACTGGGGAGTTTGGTAGCATGGTAATTTGCATATGGAACATGAATCGAAATTACTAAAGATTCTCAGGACACTAATATATTGCCTATGTACCAACATATAATATACACTCTCGTTTAGATCATCAGAAGACGAATTCATAGATACTAAACATGGTAGGATTACATATAGGTAAGATGACAGGAACGAGTGGTTCCATCATAAGCCTGCATAAAACAGTATACAATATAAGAGACAATATACAAGGACAGTAACAACATACACAATGACATGAAGGATATGTGTGTTCATTCAAAGAAAGGTTTTCCTATTAATTAATTAGAGAAGAGTCCATTTTTACTGTGCATTGGGTTTTTCCTATGGAAAATGTAGTGAGTGTCTCTAACCACATTCCTTTGGGCCATAAAACCAATGATATCAGCATTGGTTGCCATGGTGACCAGGGGCCTGGTGTCGTTCGCAGACATCCTGGCACCCAGTTTATTGGGTGAGGGGTCTGTGACGATTTGTTAATCTAATGAATAACTGATTTGTTAAATCAAATGAAAAATTGTGTGTTTGATTGGTCCAGACGCTACACCTATATTGCCAGAAATTGTGTTCCCAACTAAGCAAGCCAAAGGCGACAGTGGCATTAAACCAAAACGGAGACAGAAATGGAGGAAAAAAACCAGGCTCAGTTGGGGGGGCAGTTCTCCTCTGGCCTGGCGAAACCAGCATGGTGTGGTTTAATTCCAGGCTGCAACACAGGTCAGATTGTGCAGAGGACTTGTCTGGTTCCTATGTTCTTGACCCGATGGCCGTCTAGTTGACGAGGTCTTCACAAGGGATCTGTCTCTGGGGCTCATCTAGTTGACATGGTCTCCACTGACATTCAGGGCTGTATAAGTCGTCTCTAGGTGCTGATCCACCATCTGATCTGGATACAGACCGATACAGAGTGTGTATGCCTCCCGAACAATGCTAGGTAGATTATTCCAGAGTTTGGGTACTAAATAGGAAAAGGATCTGCCGCCCGCATTTTTTTTTTTGTTTTTTTGATATTATAGGTATTATCAAATGACCAAAGTTTTGAGATCGCAGCGGACGTGAAGGACGATAATGCAATATGAGCTCGCTCAAGTATTGAGGAGCTAAACGATTCAGGGCTTTAAAAGTAATTAGCAAGATTTTAAAATGTATTCGTTGTTCAATAGGGAGCCAGTGCTGGCTCTAGTAAGAACTCTAGCTGCTGCTTTTTGGACCAGCTGGAGTTTGTTTATTAAGCGCACAGAGCAACCACCCAATAAAGCATTACAATAATCTAACCTTGAGGTCATGAAAGCATGAAAGCATGAATTAACGTTTCTGCATTTGACATTTATATTTTTAAGAAAAAATGCGGTTTTACAAATGCTAGAAACATGGTTTTCAAAGGAAAGATTGCTATCAAATAGCACACCTAGGTTCCTAACTGATGACGAAGAATGAACAGAGCAGCCAACAAGTGTTAGACAGTTGTTTAGGTTATTACATGCTTCATGAAGCTGTCAGTGTGTCGAAAGTGCCCATCACTAATCTACAGTACACAACCAGTGAGAGGATTTAGTTTTGTAAGTTTTGTTGCAGTACATGGTGTTCATTTATGAATTACATTTACATTACATTTAGTCATTTAGCAGACGCTTTTATCCCAAGCAACTTACAAATGAGAACAATGGAAGCAATCAAAATCAACAAGAGAGCAATGATATGCAAGTGCTATAACAAGTCTCAGTTTAACACAGTACACTTAGCAAGGTTTTTTTATTTTTATCATATAACAAATAAAAAGAAAACAGATAGAATAGATAGAGAATAGAGCAAGCTAGTGTTAGAGGCTTTTTTTTTTTGCTTTTGTTAATTGTATAATAAATAAAAAGAAAACAAATAGATAGAATACAAAAAGATTAGAGAAGCTAGTGTTTTTTTTTTAAGAAAACAAGCAGTTAGTTAATGAATAGAGTGCAAGTCTAAAGGGGCAAGTTTTTTTTTTGTTGTTAAAAGAACAATTAGAATAGAGAGTGTTAGAGTTAGAGGGTCAAATAAAGATGGAAGAGATGTGTCTTTAGCCGATTCTTGAGGCATTCTTTTCGGTTCGTTAAAAATGTATCTTGCTGCCGCGTTCTAGATTAATTGTAACGGTTTTATAGAACTGGCTGGAAGACCAGCCAAGAGAGCATTGCAATAGTCCAGCCTGGACAGAACAAGAGCTTGAACAAGGAGTTGTGAAGGCGAGCAGCTATCGTCAGATCATCAGGATGGAATGAGAGGTAGAGTTGAGTGTCATCAGCATAGCAGTGATATGAGAAGCCATGTTTCTGAATGACAGAACCTAGTGATGCCATGTAGACAGAGAAGTGGTCCAAGAACTGAGCCCTGAGGCACCCCAGTAGTTAGATGTTGCGACTTGGACACCTCACCTCTCCAAGGTACCTTGAAGGACCTAACTGAGAGGTAAGACTCAAACCACTGGAGTGCGGTTCCTGAGATGCCCTTTGCCAATAGGTAATCAATAATTATTTTTACCCAAAATTGTTAGATTATTATCAGTATAAATTTTACTGAACTTTACAGTTATTGAATTGAACTCAATCAAAACTACACTGATTTGAGCTAAATAATAAGACCATTGTATTTTTAGAGCAGCAGATTCTGAATTTGTCTCATATTTGAAGAAGTTTGTATCAGTCTGTAACTCTATATAAACAATGGTGGTTCCTTCACATGTTGCAGTCTCCTAGAATTTGTGCGATATCCCACAATACACTTTTAGTAATTGGACAATAAATTTGAACAAGAGCTTTTTTTATAATGTGTATTTTCATAAAGATGTACAGAAAAGGTGTGTATATATTACAACATAAATACGACAACATGCACATTTACTGCTAAATTACCACTCGATACAAAAGCGCATGTAAAGCGTTTAACAAACTGGGACTTCCTTAAAAACAGCCTTCCACTGAAGCTTTGCACCTCAAGCTAAAAATTAATTAAAACTGAAGACTAGGATCTTAAAATAGTTTGAACAACACCTTCAAATGCTGCTGGCAAATCTGCCTATCAAATATCAAATAGATATTAAAGCTGTCAGATCAGTTATTACATTCAGCTGACACACACGTACAAAACAAAATAATACTGACACTTTGGGTTGGCTATACATGTTCAACTCCAAAAGCCCTTTAGTGTAAAAGAGTTTTCAAAACAAACTAGACGACAGTCACCGAACTTGAAGAAACAGTGGAGAACAAACCCAAAAATCAAAAAAGCAATGTCTGCTGGGTGGGATCATGTGATCTAGTGTCATGTTTAAGGACAAAGTGTCTTTGTGGACGGAGATGTTTCCAAGAACTGTGCTCAGGTGGTGTCGTCATCCATCTGCCGGAAACGGCCTACGAAACATGCGTCATGGTCTTCTCAGGAGATACGTCATGTTCACTAGTATTTGGAAATCATAAATCCCCTTGAACATATCAAGTAACAGACAGTCGTGTAAGTACAGGAGGACATTTGCTGGACGTTCAGCAATGGACTATCAAAAGGACGACGTGTGATATATATTAGCTGGTTAGCGAAATATTAAGGCCTAGAGCTGCAGAGGAAACGTCCTTTGGAAAATATACTACACACAAAATCAGTAATATCGTTAAGCCTACGAGTGTCTCATGAAGGAGGGTTGAAGGGAGACGGCTGTGGTCGGTACAGTTCACTGAGTATCTAAGCAGCAGTGTATTTACAAGAACGACATTCGTTTATTAGGTTTCATCTCCCAATAAACATTTCCCTTTTGTGTCACAGTCTAGTGCCACTTTAGTTCCAGGTCTCGAGCCAATCTGAAGCCGCAGGCAGAGGAACATGTGGAAGAGGCACTTCTTCATGGAGTTTGTTTCTTAGGTATCCCTTTTCCTCCCTTCCTCACTGTTGTGTATTGTTCATAGTTTTTGTTTTTGGTTATCTGTCCGTACGCCACACGGCGGTTCCTCAGAGGCCTGATGTGAGGAGGCACTTGGTAATGTGGTTTTTGGGCAGTCAGTAAATGCTATGTCATCAAAATGGGCTTTTGTCTCACCTCCAGAATATCTAAAAAAGAAACAATGGAACTATTTAGCCACTACAATTAGTGTTCACGGCTAACAGATGTAAAAGAAGCATGTCTGTATGGAGGGCAGGTGTGCTGTACCTGTGGTGATGCGATGCAAAGGAAGAGTCACGTAGGTGAGATGAGAATACAACAGAAAATACTCCTCTTTTCTGTTCAGCTTGAGCCAAGAACCCACCAGCGAGTGGCCCGTTCCTGACAGAGAGCGGGAGCGCAAGTTTGTGGCATTGCACATGTCTGAGGAAAGAGGAAAGTACCTTTAATTTCACTTTAAAACTGAAACTATCACTGTTGCAAGGAAGGAATGCTTTTCCACCCACAAAATTGCTGGCATATCTGTTTTTATTTCTTCCTGTTAAAACAAGGACTATCAATAAGCTAGACACATTTTTCCTAAAAATATATTTTAAAAATTTGTATTTTCTAAATATGAATTTTAGACATGCCACATTTAATTTTATCTATGTGACCCTGGACCACAAAACCAGTCATAAGTAGCACGGGTATATTTGTAGCAATAGCCAAAAATACATTGTATGGGTCAAAATTATAGATTTTTCTTTTATGCCAAAAATCATTAGGATATTAAGTAAAGATCATGTTCCATGAAGATATTTTGTACATTTCCTACTGTAAATATATCAAAACTTAATTTTTGATTAGTAATATGCATTGCTAAGAACTTAATTTGGACAAATTTAAAGGCAATTTTCTCAATATTTTGATTTTTTTGCACCCTCAGATTCCAGCTATTCAAATAGTTGTATCTCGGCCAAATATTGTCCTATCCTAACAATACATCAATGGAAAGCTTTCAGATTATGTATAAATCTCAATTTCGAAAAATTGACCCTTATGACTGGTTTTGTGGTCCAGGGTCACATATATATTATATAACAGCAGATTTTTTTTAGAGGTGAAATTACTTGAAATATACATATTCCATTCAATTCATATTCATATAAAATTACAGTTTTCAGATGAAGAAATTCAGATATTGTAAAATTCTGAAATTCAAAAGTTTAGTTTGAAATTTAAATTCAGATCATACAAAACTAGGCCACGGATTATATCTTCCCCTTCCATGTCCCATAGGACAAAGTAGAGGTCATTAGAATAGCCTGCGTTATTATTTGCTGCGGTAATTTGCAGTTTCAGTCTGCGAGATATCACAAATAGATCAGAAAATGAACGCTGAAAACTCTTTTAATCAGTATATTCACAGCTAATTTTACCTCTAAAAAAATATCAGAACCAAAACAACCTGTTTAAAGATAAAAAACTAGGCTATAAAATACGCCACTAAAACTGTTCAATGTTGTTAAATGCGAATACTGTTCCAGTGCGTTTGCGTACCTTCATCATCCTCTTCTCTGAAAAACTCCTCACTGTCGTTTGCCGAGTGTGATTTCTTCATCTCAGCGATTCGGTTTCGGGGCACTTTCCGTCGGAGTGACGGTGAGAAGAAGGAGGGTCTGTTTTTCTCCGGGGTCGGGGGAGTGCTGAATGATGTCACCTATGAGGAAAACAGGGCTATCAATTACTTCAAAAACGTAAATTAAAGCAATGCAGAGAACAAATGCAAATGGTTTGTGCATTAATTGAAAACATCTAATGAAGTGGGAATAGAAAATGGGTTTAACTGACCCTCTCGTGAAGAGGCGAGTCTTGGTCCTCTTCAGTGCCGCAGGGTGAGGTGTCTCCAGTGGGCACACGACTCACAGCCATCTCAGCATGACCTTTCCCCTGAGGACCCTTCATCCGCACAAACTCCATGTTGTTGTACTTGTAGAAGCCGAATGACATCCGCTGGGCCATCTTAGCAGCCACGCTTGCCTATAAAGATGTACACACAAGACATATCATGAAATACACACAAGAAGCATGTATAAGACAATAAATACTTTGGACAAATGTAAAAGGAAGCATACCCGGTTATCATAGACCTTCTTGAGAGCCTCGTAGCGGATGGAGCCCTGGAAGATGACACCCTGAAATGTGTTGCTTTTGTCACTGGCCACCAGCTCCACACATACCATCTCACCTTCTCCAACAGTCATATCGCTGAACACCTGCCCAACACACACACACAACAATCACAGCCAATTATGACAATTACAGCACTGGTTATACAGAATTACTAATTATTAGGGCTGTGTTTTTGTAGTACAGCTCACCAGTGGTACAATTCCCACTGTTTTGTCTCCTCTGTTTTGTTCAACACATTTAATTTTTAAATGACAGAGTATAATTCAGCAGCCACCCAGCTGTGTGTAACGGGAGAAAAACACACTTTGTCTTGAATCTGCAGACAGTGCGATGTTTACGAGCAGAAGCATTATCATGACATTACACAGCATAACACACCATGATTTAGATCTAATCAGCACAAAGTACAAACAGACCATAAGCTGGAACTAAAATGGCTGGTAGTGAGAAGCAGGGTTATTGTTGTTAACTAAAACAAAAACCATTAAAACATTATTCATTACTTGAAATAAAATAAACATTAACAGAAAAAATGTTTTGGACAAATGTACTTTGGACTTTTTTTTCCCAGCTAGTTGCCAAGGCAACATTTTTCTTTTCCGTTTAGTTTAAACAGAAAGTACTACATAAACTAAAACTTAACAAAAAGTATATAGACATAAAAAAAATGACAAAATCACAAAGCAAAATTACTAAAACTTGAAATAAAATGAGAAAAGAAAATATATAAATGAAATGTAACTTAAAATACTCTTGTACTCTAATTGAATACTTTTGAATACTCTTGTGCACCGAAAAAAAGAAGTGTGGAATGTTGGACACTTCATGCACTCAACTGTTGCTGCATTAAAGGGGTCATATGACATTGCTAAAAAGAACATTATGTTGTGTATTTGGTGTAATGCAATGTGTTTATGCGGTTTAAGGTTCAAAAAACACATTATTTTCCACATAATGTACATTATTGTTGCTCCTCTATGCCCCGCCTTTCTGAAATGCGTCGATTTTTACAAAGCTCATCGTTCTGAAAAGCAAGGTGTACGCTGATTATCCAGCTATCTAGTGCGTTGTGATTGGCTGAATACCTCAAGCGTGTGACGGAAATGTTACGCCCCTTACCATACTGTGAAGCCGTGTTCCGGCGCAATGAGACAAAACCAATAAAACCCATTACAAACTAGGCATTTGTTGCATCCAGTGGGGACATAATTACGGATTATAATGATTTATACTGTATTTTTACGCGTTGCATCGCGCCGAGGAAAGCAGGTTTGATGAATCAGTGGTCTGGCGTCTGCAAGTTAGACTCTTAAAAACACGTTTTGCTCATGTGCAAACAAGTGCGCACAACCGCGGGTGATTTCATTTTCGATTTCTGGTCGAGTCTGGGGTCTGCGATATACATCTATGATAATATGGTAAGTGTTGTTGTAATGATGTGTGATCTGACATTATTGAGTATATCACCAAATCACACACAGAGTGCACGCACGTGATTTATTAGTCTATTAAAACTCAAAATTCAAGGTATT